TGTAAATTGCCAACGCAATGAAAACGAGTAAACATTAAGACATATTAGATAGATTAGGCGAGGCAACTAACTGGAATTTTCTGGCAGTTGAGGCACCGGTTAGCGCATGGAATCATTTCGTCAGCCAGAATAACACTCAAGTTGCCGAAGCAACAGCGACTAAGACTGTCCATCCTGGAAGCATGGCCTATTTTCTGCGAAATAGTACGCGCAAATGGCATACGTATAAAATCTGTCCGAGCACCGCGAAGCGGATGGCTTGTGCCACCCACCGTAACCACAGTACTTAGCTTATTCGCAGATAAACTAGCCGACCAGCAGTAGTAAGCAGTGAGTATGGTCACAAACCAGAAGCTTCCGTATCAGCACGTAAAAGGTCTACGAAAGGTGAAATAAGGAATTCCTTCTCTTCACACAACGGACGGACTGATGTGGGTCCCAAAGGATGTGGCAAGTACTCTGCGCCTGCAATATGCTGTACAATTTCAGTGAAGCCACTGGCCACCAAGTTCTATGAAAATGGTTGTCTCACCCTTAAAACACACTCACATAATCTTCAGGGCTGAAGCTGTAGGAAAAGAGTGGTTTAGTATGCATAAACAAAGCCCTCCTGTAGTCAACAATATTCACAGGAAGTCGCTTGCGATGTTGGCAAAGAGATTACCAGAGCATTTGTCTAGAGTATTTCAACACTATTTTGGCAAGTTATATGGGTCCGACATGTGAGAAAACAAGATGAGTACTCAGATTCACCAATGAGGTGGTCGTTCCGACCCAGCCAACTACAGCCCAGTAATCACACTTCCGGTACTTTTAAAGGCTAGGGTGGCTATAATTTTGATGCCCTATAGGTTTACTTAGAATAATTAAACTACCCTGCACCGGAACAGTACGCTAGGCGACGGAAACAACCGTACACTACAAATGGGTTATTAGCACGATCCAACTGGACCAGTGAAGTAAAAACTAGCATCGGCGTTGATGTAGTTTTCTCGACTGCTGAAATACCTTCGGTGAGTTAGACCATGGTCTTTTGCTCGCTAAACTGCAGACATTTGCTGTGAGTTATCTCCTCCTTGGATGGATCAGAAGCTTTTACTTACACCAATGCTTAGAGATAAGAATGTGTGAATCCTTCTGAGACCTCATCCGAGTTGGTGGCGGAGTACCACATGGATCGGCGCTTGGACCACCATTAATTTTGATATAAACCAACGATAAAACACGTCTCATAAGCAAGCACCGCCTGCTTTATGCCCGTGACATTACCACGTGGAATGCGATCGATACACCAGTGGGTACCACAGTACTTCAGTCCGCTATGTGTACGATTTAATCCACGTCAGTCGAGAAGCTACTACATTTCCATGTGAACAAATGTGGAGTGCTGCACTTACGGAACCAGTTCGTGTGCTCTTACAAACTGGGCATCCAGGAGCTTCAGATGCCATCTGGCGAATAGGATCTGAGCGTTTCGGTCCTATGCCGGCCCAGGATGTTCAGATCAGACTGTAACGACTTCAAAAGTGAACATCTAACACATGGACCTCCTGAGGCGTACATTTGACCGATTCGAACCTTGGATTTCTCTACAGCTTATAGGCCCATAACTTTGTTCACAATTCGTATACGCAATACAGGTCTAGCATCCATGGCTGAGGAAAAATCTCACCGCCTTGGGGACTCCCTAACGCCGAGCAACCAAACATTTCGAAGGTGTGCATAATTTGCTGGATGGAGGAAGACTTCGAGTGCTCTTATTCATTAGCGGACAACAACTGCGTTTGTATGTGAACACATTTTGACTTTCCAGCTTCTGAGCTGTCCCAAACTCGCGCGCCGCCATTTAATATAGCTCATTCACAACTGCAGTTCGAGAGATACAATCTTACGTTGTCAGAGCAGCACAGTCGTTTGTAATTCCGACGGAATTTCGTTGCCGTGTGCGTTTAAAACCGTTGAATACTCCTTCGGATTCTGTCATCTCTGCTCCGGCGTTGGTTGAGTTCAAAACCACATTTCACCACGCACTCATTTCGCTGCACCATATAACATAACTCACTGTCCATGCCTAAACACCAGTGCTTGCTAGTGATTTCCCTGTCAGTCAGGATAGGTTCCACTTTTTTCCGTTATGTGTTAACCAGGAGACGGTACAATGTTTACTAATCTCCAATTTGTTATCGTTCCTTTGGGTCCTACGGCGGTTATACTTTTACTACCAATACCGCGGTGAGTCCACAGGTGCGAACCTAAGTTTATTGATAATTTTCTCATATTTTGCATTTTTCCCATGACAGTGTCACGGAGTCTGTTAAGCTTTAGCTTTCAACCCGCATAAAACCATTATTTCTATAGCTGGATTAAAAGAACAAGTATCATCTGGTGCATTTTCTGTTAGAGGTTAGGCTAATCTGACTTATGAATAGCTAAGCTGAACCAACAAAATTACTTTAATAATGCTCCAACACCAATCACCTAAGCATTCACCCTCACAGTTTTCAGATGCCATGCAGACTGCTTAATGGAAGTCCTTACGTCGGAGGCCAGCCACTGTCCCATGCTATGGCAGGAAACTGCATGACAGTGGAGGATATGTTGCGCTATGTCCTAATTTGAGTGCGAGTTCAGACGGTTAGCTTCCATCCCCTATGTTTCAGTGGTATATGCTGCTAGCTATTTAGCGTAAGTTGTCCGTGGACATGGGTTTGATTCACAACAGGGGGCTAAGGAAATGCACACCACTTGCGGGTACACTAGAGCGATAGGATCAATTGGTTTTTTCCTGGACTTCTGCTACACTAATCTAGCTTTTGAAAAGCTAATATGAACCAGTAAAATACCATTCACAATTCTCTTACTCTCCAGCAAAAGACAAACGTCTCAGCTGATCAACCAACCATCGTGATAATATTGTATTTGGATACAAGTTATCTAATGTGATAGCTGCTAATGTGTACCCATGAACCCGTTTTGCTATCTAATCCTGAATTTCACGCTATGGGCAAATATGTAACTGGGCGTAGCAGTTGACCATTGAGTGTTGCGCACATGTAAGCCAGTCCTCTATGACCGGTTTTGAACTAATTTGGTCTCATCACTTGGAGACGAATTACGGAAGAAGCCTCTACTAAATATCTGTAGTGTCACGCAACTACCTTCACACTACTCATACTACATGGTTACAGCAATAAGTCATTGGCTTAATTAAAATCCATTAATGAGGATGTCAAACCGATATGTTCACCAGCTGCATGGAGGTGCAGATGCTGTTAAGGATTATCTGACCACAGTAACAAAGGAAACTTGAAGAAAATAATTTAGCGCAAATTAAAGAAGAAAGGAGTAGTGAGCTATATTTTTTCAATGAAAGCATGTCTATTTGCTACTCGCTCAGCATTGCTTAACAAACTGGGCATTCTGTACACGGAGGGAGACTATATAAAGCCAACTCAAAACAGGCAGCAAATATTAGTTTCTAGTAGACATTAAAAGTTTTGTTAAGTGCCGGGTACATAAATGAGAGCGTGAATCTATCAGGGCAACCAATGAGTGAACAAAGACAGAGCAAAGACAGAACAAAGACAAAGGTGTATTCGAAAGCATCTAGATAGGCTCATTCAGAATAGTCATACAGTAGAAATGGACAATATGGTCGACACTCGGGCACTGAAAGCGTCCTCTTTATATTAAACGAGTAACTGTATTTACAAAAGCTATTGAAATTTTTGCGCCCGTGCCTACAAGCCTAAACGAAACGGAAGAAATCACGAGAATATATGCGACCTTTCTCAAGAGTGCCGAGGAACAACATTCAGCTTAGATCTATGTCAATAAATTCCTCTTAGTACCGCATGAATTAAAGTTCTCTATCATTTTGGCCCTCAAGAACGTTGGTAATATGCCCCGAAAGAATAATTACTGAAGTGATGAAGACCGACAAATAAACGATCATGCCTATAAAGTAGATGGGGTAGAGTTATCGTTTGCTAGAATGTAATTTTTCCCTCCAGTTTGTTTGGCATTGGAGAATGGATCCGGAGGTGAGAGAAATATAACGACCTGAGCATAGGTACTAACACATAACTTTGACACAAGTTTGAGCGATTTTTGCTCAGTAGACCTTTTGAAGTTACATCCTGATACTGTTTGGTAGCGCCTGCAGTACCAGTCGGTAGCAGTGTAGCCTTAATACGTACTAAATACAGGACGGTCGAAAAGAGAGTTGGTTGGCTCGAGGCTAGATTGTAGTGGTTACAAGCAATCGAAAGCGAATCAGTGAGGGTCAGGGACGTACAAGGCAAACTCAAGAGCGCAATATTTGAAGACGGATATACAGTCAGTAAAACGAATAGACTTTAAGGTTCAAACAACATTAACATGAAATATTTTATGATAAAGTAAAAGTGTGTTTGCGGGTGCATTAATTACACATATTTAACTGTTATCTGACTGATATCATTTTCGGTAGAATCTCATCACGAACTTCGCCTAAAAATATATCAACTGCACCTTCGAAAGGCACTGAAGGACCGTTTGTTATTTCGGGAATCGGCAGCAGTCGCTTGTCAGCGACCATGCACATACGCGTCCGCGGTTGAGACCGCTTGGCCAGGTTGGATAAGCTGGAGCTACGGTATTTAGTAAATAACTCTGATATAGTGCACATACTTATTCTTAAATGCCATACACATTTTCAACGTTTGGAGAATGGTGTTGACTTACTGAGCTGCTAGGTATTTTTAATGAAAAGTCACCGTTCGGTTGGGTTATGAGCTAGCTTGGAAAATCGCTGATATTATCAACTAATGAGGGTAAGATATGGATGAAATTTTCATTGACTATTCGTCAAAACATATTGAAATCAAAGTAATTATTAAATACTAACCAAATATAATCCGGTTCAGTTGGACATAGAAAGTATTTAAGTGACCGTTTGCTTAATTGCCGTACTGAAATGTCGGCATTCAAATAAGTTCCCGCAATATTCCATGACATACCATTATCCGACCATTTGAGACGTCTCTGCCGGTAATGCTTGGAAATGCATCTGGAGTCAGAAGTTGCCGCATCGGGTGAAAACGTCTTGCTGATAAGATTTCCCATAAAATGCTAGTGACTAATAAACCTGACAGATTTCATAAATGCTTTAACAACTAGCTCTCAAAACGTGTGTCATTTAATTTAGATTATCTAACATCTACAATTGCTGCAATTACGCTACAAAGATGATCAATTACACCATGGTATCTGATACCACACCCAATCTGTGAAGCAGAAAGAAAGTCATAGGTGGGTGCCCCGTAGGTAAAGTCTTTTTAAATCCACTGAACCAACTTCTTCCCGACGCTGTTTTAATTAAAACCATTAACAACCAAGTATTGCACGATTTGATTCTGGACAAATATCTGCCACAGATTACTAAGTGCGTACTATAGAACAAGTGCAAAGTTATACCATCATGAAAAGTTCATATGGTTGAGAAGGCAACTTCATCATTATGCTTTTAAACACAACGCCCATCCTTGTCAACCAACCAATGTCGACTACCTCACTATCAGAATAAAACTAGGTAACAGACGCATCCTTCTGCAAGCTTTCTTTAAAGTTTTATTGTTTCTGGTCTTCCACATCTGCATCATTGTGCATATTTTTCAGAATTTCTAACCCCAACTTGCTTCATTGTTGTTGCATGTTTTTTAAACGTAGTAGCTGTCACGGAGCCTCAGGTAGCGATAAGAATCCATTGCCCCCGCTTTAAATTTCGTTTGTTTCGTTGCAGCTTTGTTGAGAACGATGTGTAGACCACTGCGTTTATTGATAGCGCTCCAAATGGTAGATACCACTATATATAAATAAGGGACAATATTGTTGATATTGGAGTGGTAATGCACTGTCAAATGCGTGGCCTTTTATTGATGCGAGTATTGGTTGGCCATATCCTTGGTGTCAAACTTGCTATACTAAGCCATTTTTGGCTGCTGTTGTATCAAAACAAAACACCAGGTCCAATGTCGCTTGGTGAATGTAGGTCGGGTAATAATATATTGTACTGAAAGATAAAAAGAATACACCGGAACTATTATAGATTAAATACACAGAAGGACCTGGCATCTTTCTAAATCACACTTTCCAGTGTCACTTTTGCAGAGTAGGAATATTTCGAACGGTTTCTCACACGGAAATCAACTTGCCTTGGACACAGCAATAATGCATGTGACATTAGCATGTGCTCGCACGTCGCTGACGTGCAAATAACTGTGAGCAGTGGAGACAAGCACGTCTAAGCGCCTGGGAGCGCATCGGTTGTGTGAGTTTAAAAACCGTTTGATGACGCAAGTGAAGGTAAGAACCTTCACTAACTAATGCAGTACTGCCGGTGTGCTTTGCTTAATCCAAAATGATACCAAAAGCAGACAAATAGAAACCGGGTGAGCATATATTCATATCCAAAGTTTGTGAATTTTGTTAGATAAAACATATATTGTTATGACATGGAAACTGCCGACAGACTTCAGGACAAATCTAACGGAATTTTTCTTTCGGGTGCGATTGTTTGACTCAATGTGTTCAACGGATTCCGGACTACCACTCGCGGCCAAAGTAATAAGATTATCTAAAAAGGAAAATGACAAAACACGGCCAAATATTTGGAAGTTGATAATGAGCCCAGTATAACAAAATTAGACAATACTGCTTCTACTGTTTTACACCAAATACTTTTGCAGCATCTGAGAAACTCAAACAATGTTAATGATTTTGGACGCAATAGGGTGGTCATAAAAGATATTCTTATTCTAGTGCACTTTTTCACGCTGAACTAACTGTTTTGTGCATTTTTTGTCAATCCTAAATTTTAATCTTTCTGTTTCATTGTGTTGCTTAATACAACTATATATTTGGCTGTCATACAATCCGCTGGATACATAGATTATTCCCGGTTCTAAATCAACAATAATATATTGCAATCTTTTTACTTCGAGGTCAGCGCCTTTCTAGACTTTTGCTTCGGTAAATAATTTCTCATATCAGCTTCCGATTGCATAAGGCCTATTTGTGGTCTTTTGCTTACCTGCAATACTAAAGGTGAGATCGTGTAGGTTGATATCTACCCAGTTACTCCCACGCCTGGATTACATCTCCAGATTATAAAACGATATTCGCCAATCTATTTTGTACGCATTGAAATTTATAAGTGTGGTTCCTTTGCATATCCTAATACTTCACGCAAAAGCAATTTGCAATAGTCATCTCTCGTTTAGCATATCAAAATGATACATTTTCATGCATCCCATACTGCAAAAGAAGTATAATCAAACCTTCTCTAGACTGGGTAAAGTTTCAGGTACTAATCGTACAGATTTGCCGAAATTGAATTGCCAGATGACAAGAAATAGAGCGCTTAGAAACGGGCAAATAACTCAGTGAGGCAGGCTCGGGGAATGCTTTAGCAGAGCTGACCAGTTGAACTGACATATAAATATATATATATGTGAAACCGGATGACACCAACCATATATATATATATATATATATATATATATATATATATAGAAATGGTCAGGATTGATGGTGTAGTCCCTGGTCCGGCCTCACTGAATTAATTGCTATTTATGGCGTCTGCTTACGCTAGTGCTCCACTCGTCCTACCCACTTCCCCTTCTAGACGAATTTATGGGTTGTGAAGTGAAGTTTTTTCATTAGGCTGGTAAGCTACGGATGTCTATTAATTTCCCTTCTCTTGTGATGGTAAGGAACTTACTCTTAACTAAACCGCCAATTACAGTACTTTGAGCATCATTTTACCCAAATATTATCTTTCTGTTTTCAGTTGTTAAACCGTGTTGTAAAGTTCGAAGTTGACATTTCACGTTTGTACACGTAAACTACGTGCACTAACAAAAGATTTTATTTTGAAAATTATCCTGTCTTCCTTCTATGGCAATGGATTTACTGTTGCCATTAAGCTTTTCTGTTGGTCAATAAAATGTATAACTCAGTTCAGGTACATTTCATGAAAACGGTTTTTAGATACAGCCGGCTGTTTAGGAAGAGTATCAATATTAGCAATACCATCAAACAGCATGACTTTTGCATCAGTGCCCTTTACAGATTTGGTTAAACGTTTCCATCTTATTCGTGCTGATCAATGATAAACAATATGTGTAGTAATAGGGGGCGTTGAATGGTATAGGTAGAAATTCATCACATCTAGACTCACTCAGACAGTCGTCACACGTCCGGAAAAGCACTGTACGCGCGTTTCATCCTTTCGGGAATTGTCCGCCGTGCGCATTCCATCGGACCCTGGTAGGGCTCGTACCCGCAACTCGACTGTTGCCAGTATGTGGTTGAGACCACTGAGCTACGGGGAACGGCAACGACCACCGTGAGTAAGTAATTGGATGTGATATAGCGCCGCTCACTACCCACTGACTTACACGTTGCTGTCGTGTAATCAGTACGCATACTAAACTGCTTATAATGTCATAAGTTAATTGGCGGCTTAAGTTTGGTAAGCTCGTCTATTGTTGACGGGGCTTCCCTGTCCACTGCACAACAGTAAAGTATAAGTCAGTGGATAGTGAGCTGCGCTGTCACATCTGATGTCATTCTTTCATTCTTTCTTTCATTTTTACACACGCTTGATTTGCATTCCCTTTTCGAACGTCGTTTTAGCATAAATATGTCTTCCGTACCTGCAAACCCTTTTTAGTTAAACTAGGATTTTCTTGCGCATTTTTGTAACCTAGCATATAAGTTAACATGTTCCAGTTATCCGTTCAATTGTCTCTAATTGATTTTAAAATCATTTAGCTGAGTTGTAAAACCTGTTAAACTTGCGCGGCTTTTTCAAAACAGGAAGACATTTAAGCACCTAATAAAGGCCAAATTTGTTATCAGCGGCAGTGGATCATATAGATTGTGTTAGCTAGATTTTGCAAATACAAACGCCTGCAGACCGGCTGGAGACTCGCCAAATCGGTAGTACTACGCACGTAACGGCAGCCAGAACAAACTTTAGTCAAGATGTTATTAGGAGACTTGAGCCTGATGCCCTAGAGCAAAGTTGCTTACCTCCGGTTTCAGACTTGATAACGAGAGTCTGATCTGTTACTACGTTTTGTTAGAGAAGCCAGTCTGCTTAATCCGCATTCAACAATGTATGCAGATGGAAAAGCAAGCAAATATAGTTTAGCTATTTCTCACAGTCTAGTGCATCAGTCGGTCCGAAAAGCCCTGTTATGTAGCGTGCATTTGGATCGTGCTAGGGTGTCATTTTTAAGCCCTTTGAGACAATCCTGGATGTCAGATATAACTTCGCAAGGCTGCGAATCAATCGGTTCCAAAGTCTAAATCAGAATTTCCATCTCAGTCAAGACATGAAGGACGTTTTACATTTTTGCCGCTTTGAAACTTGCTGGCATAAAAATCAATTAGGGACTGGGAAAATTCATAATCAGTTCCAGAAACTAATGTGATGATGGTGTTCCGGAGTGCAACAAAACGGCGAATAAACTTCTTTGAAGTGCCATCTACTTCTGTATGCAATAGTAGAAACTGGAAATCTTCACAGTTTTCCTCATAAAACTGCTGGAAATGACGGTCTTGTAATGGGTACTGATTGATATTGATAACTACTAGCATAAATTTTGACAGTGAATCGTATTAGCGCCCTCCCATATTCTTAGCCACTACGTACTCTCAATGAGTCAGTGGTTGGTATGAACAGAAGGGTGAAAACTTTTAGATGGACAGTGAATCCTCCACATCTTCCTACCATTGCGGTAACGCTACCTGTTGCAACTGTAACTTTGTTTTGCATTATGATGGCGTTTTCAAGCAGATAGCGATTGACTACTTCGAATACAGACTGGTCCTTTGTATGAGTTTCATATAACCTGGCAAGCAGCATCACTTGCATTAATTCATAATCATTTGCAGAATCTGACATATACCGAGCGTAGATGGTCGTCTTCATATAATGTAGATTTACCTACTCGTAACGGAAATTTCTGGACTGTAGTAAGGTGAATAAGGTAATTTGTATGTCCTGCACTATCACACCTATTCACTTAGATAAAGTTGAGTTTCTAAACAGAATG